CCTCCGGGCTGGTCTCTGGCGCTCCGAAGTCATCCACGAAGTGGAGAGCTGGCGTGAGAAGAAGGCAGCGGTTGGCCCAAGCCATCCAATCCGCAACACGGCAATAGCCCCACACGCTTGCAACGGAGCCAAACATCAAGACACGATGGCGCCACAGCGTCGGACCTCTTGGCGTCTGTAGCACAACATAGGTGTCCTCTGGCCGCCGCACAGGGAGCTGACGATAGGCTGCCTCATGATCAAGACCCCATGTCATAATGGCGCCCTGTTCTCCTTGTTGTCGTAGAGCTCGAATGACGGCGATGAAGGCCTCGATGCTGTGGTACGCAGGTGTGTCCGGCACGTTCACGGTCTTGTTGCCTCCAGAACGGCGCCAATCGTCTGCGCGACGGACCTTGCGGCGACCATCAGATCCTACTTGCTGAACTGAAAAAGCAAAGCACGTGTGCTCATGGCAGGTCGGCGGCGACAACAACTCGGTTGTGTGCGCATAGTCAGGCAGCGCCACAGTGGCTTTGCTCCATGACGACGGCGATGCAAAAGGACCTTCCATCCTTCCGGCTTTTACATCCGCAGCAATTTCTGCAGCCATGGTCTGCCAAGACGGATCCACCCTGGCCTGATTTAACTTCTTCTGCACGTACTGAAAGTTGTCCTGAAGGAGCGTCTCCTTGTCAATCGGGTTGTTGTATCTATCATCGTGACGAAGACGCCAGCCCAGACCTGGATTGATGCGGCCAAGCAATGGAAAGCCACTGCTCATCTCCTCGAACAAAGAGTCGTCCTGCCAGCCAAACAACTTCGCAACTCTTGCAATTACAGGGACCTGAACTGTGCACCTACCATCTTTCGAGCTGTAGGCAAGTTTGACGTGTGGCTCCAGTGTTTGGAACCAGGCATCCACTTCCGGCTGCATGTCCTCCACCAATTTCCGCACATCGGACGCAACGCTCTGCCTCATCTCTCCAAGATAGGGCTTCCAGTGCATCCACAGGGGTAGCCCTTGAGCTAGGCCTGGTTCAAGAAGAGGGCGCGTCTGGTCTGCATGCAACGCAAACTCCGCAGCCGCCCAGTGCTCACGCATGTCCTCAATGGCTGACAAATCCAACGCCTCGGAGAAGACCGGCACACCTGGCCCAGTCAGCAACGGAGAAGACGCCCACAAGCTCGCCATGCCCTCTAGAGCGTTCGCTCCCAAGGGCGACAGTTCACGCGGAGGTGACGACAAAGAAGCTGCATTTGTTGCGGGGGTTGCTGCAAAAAGTCCGAGAACAAAGAACCATCTAGCAATGCCTAAATGCCAACCGTTCGCCAATGCACGATGACGTTGCTTGTCAGGGAGAGAGGCTGTCCACCCCATGGGTAAGTGATGGAGTTGTTCCTTCACCTCTGCGGGCGGCATGACCAGCGCGCTTGTCTCCGGCACTACGAAAAGGTTCCCCCTTTCACAGTGCCATGGTGCATATTGACGGCCATCATTGAGCCATCTGGCCTGTGTCGCAGAATCCGCTTTGCCCTTGTAGCTCCGCGGAGCTGATCGCCCACGCGGATCTTCTGCTGGCGTGGTCAAGCACGGGAGCACCGCGCCCTTCTGCAAGACGTTGCTTGGCCACTGTAGGCCGCCGAGGTCATACTTGGCCAGGTTATCCTTGATCTGGACGAAGCTCGCACGTGGAACTCCTTGATAGGTTGACCAACGAATCTCAACGGGCGATTGCGTTGGTTGGAGAGTTCCTGCCACGGAATTCTCGTCCACCAATTAAAGGCGAGGCCTCGATATGACGCCCAGATCGGAGGCGTCCGCGACAACTGCTGACGCGGACAACTTTGTCTCGAGCACGCGGACATCTTGTTTGTTGCGCGGCACAACATTCTCGACAATGAGGATTGCTTGCGGATAGCGCCATGTAGCCTCCAGCTCCCGCACAAACTCGGCGAAGCGAATGGCCTTGGAACCCTCCTCGCCTTCAATTCCAGGAGGATTTTGACGAACGCGCGAGCTATCATGGCATGGGGGGCCGCCTGCAATGACAATCCTAGACTCATGACGTGGATCTAATTCACCTAGGCGCTCAATGACCTTACTCACACAATCATAGTCAAAGTCTCCGCGATGCTCCACATTCTTGAAGCGGGCAAGCGTGAGCTTCACTAGGCTGTCGTCAGTCTCCCAAGCCAAAGCACGCCAGCGCCACGACTGCTCCTTGCAGATGTGCTCGCAAATCAGCAACAAGTAGGCATAGCGAATGGACTCCAAGCAATCGATGAACGCAAGGACACTCTTTGGATGCCACGGGGCCTCTGGCTCCGCCTCCAGCTGATTCTCTTCATTAATTGCGAGAACTGTGATGCCTTGTCTACTCTTCTTGCGAGCTGCGTTTAGGGGGTTGGGTTCCCCCGCTGCATTGAAGAAGCGGGCCTGCACGATTTCCTGCAGGCCTATCGCGGTATGCTGCATGGTCTTCATCTCGTTGACCATGCGGGCTAAGATCGATTCTGCCCCCAGGAGCATTTCCTGTGGAAACTTCCTGGGAGTGCCTGCCACAAACACTGACTCATACTGCGCGATCTTTGCCTGCCACCAGCCAGAAGGTAATTCCTTCGAATTCTTGGATGAACTTGCCGAAGAACTTGAAGCATCTGGCGGGACCGCTGCACTGGATGGAAGAAGGGACGCCAACCCTTCTTTCTTGGCACACTCACGCCAAAGCACCCTGAACTTTGCCCGCGCGATAGGGAGGTCCACTTGCTCGACCTTGACGACGTTGCCCTTCTCTACCTCGAAGCCCTTTTGCAACGGAGCGATGATGGCATCATTGAGCTCTTCCGGCTTGTCAGCCAGGGCCGCGAAAAGCGCGATGGAACTCACCCCCCGGACCTTGATGTATTTCTTGATGTTGGCTGGCAAGCCCGCCTCATCGGCCAGCTTGTTGAAGTCCGCTTCCGCGCCTTTGCCCGTCATGATCACCGGCAACGATTCCTTTCAGACGCTACTTGGAACTGCGCATGGACCGACTCAGCAACAGAAGCAAGGTAGACTCACGCACGTTGCGCCTACTACTGCACACAAGCCCATCTGACAATTAATTAAGTCTCACGCGCAAGAGACAAGCTAGTCACAAGTCTAGGTGCTGGTTGCTTCCACACTTGCACTGCCGCGCGCAAGCTCGCTCAGCTCCTACAGTTGCAATATATTTGCGCAGCAACATCTACGAGACTTTGGTCGTCCAACACACACAAGAACAACATCACAAGCGCAAAAAGCAAGATGCACAACGGGCTGCAATGTTTCGCGCAAGCACATGCCAACGCAGACTCAACTAAGTTACTCCCTACTGACGGTCTGCGCGACCGCATCACTCAATCTCCTTTCAGTTGGCTGCCCTGGCACGGGTCAGCCTTGCAAAACGGCACTGCTCTCCGTAGCTAGCGCAAGCTGCCGCACCCGGGCCGCTTCAATCCTCCTGTTCAGTGGAGGAGCTGGCACTATCGGACTCTGACTCGCTCTCGGACTCAGTCTTCTCAGGCTCCGCCACAGATGCAAAACACCTCTTGCACTGCGCCATGCCCTCAACATTTGCACATCGACGGAAGTTCGCAGTTCCGTATGGCCAGCCGCATCCTGTGGCACGCCACTGCCAGGGAAGTTTGGTTGCCTCATTGACGTCCCGACAATGAGCCTTCTTGGCGACGATGAACTGCGGGCGATCTTGCATCGCCTCCACGGACAAGGCCAAGGTCTCGACTTTCTTGCTCAACTCCTCTATGGCAGCTGCATCTGCGACGGAGCTACAGCCTGGCATGCCTTGCGCACGCTTGTCTGCCGCAACACACTGGTCACCCGGAGCACCTCCCGAGCGCACACGGCTGACAAGGATCTCGAAGCTGTTCAAGGCTGCATCTTGAACGTAGCGCTCAGTTGCTCGGCTTCCCCACCGGCCAAGAAGCATCACAGTGGAAAGAGGCACCATCAAGCGCGTCAAGAACTGTGCTCCAGCAACACGCAGCACATGTCCGCCGAAGCGTTGTACTTCGCCAAGCCCATCCGGCCCTGGCCTTGTCAATCCCACGCCATGCCTGCTTAGCACTTGTCGAATAATGTTCACAGTCTCGCTCTTGGACAGTTCAATTCCAGGCACAGCAGCAAAGAGAGGGTCGCTTTGATTTCCTTTGAAGCTCTTGAGGAAGGAAAGGGTGGTGTGGTACGGGCAAACGCCAACATGAAGCACGCCACAGCAGCACTTATGCGTCTGCATCACGAGATTGCCCACAATATCTGTCTTGGAAGCCCAAAGCGTAAGCGAGACCTGTTCCTTGCCCTCGTCCAAGAATAGGTGACCACGGCGCAAGGCTACCAACTCAATCTCCCGCAGCAAAAACCATGAACCAAGAACTATGATGGCTTGTTCCAGCGCACTGAACTCCTTGCCTTTGTGGAAGAGATTCTCTAGCTCAAGCGAATCCTTGAGCGCAGCACCACCCATGCCGCGCTCCACTGAACGAACCGCATCCTTCAACTCCAACTCTGCCTCCGCGGACAACTCTGAATTTGTTAGCTCTACATGGAGTCGACGAAGACGGCTAAAGTACTGCCTGACTGATCTGTAACCTCCCATTTTGAGCGCCGCAGCTATCTTCTTAACGACGTCCTTGCTGACGGGCGCGAGGCTGATCCCCCACGCCGCAGCCACTGCTTCCAACGTGCGCAGTCGTGCATCTTGGGATGCCCGAGAACTGTTTGCCCACACATCCTGCTGGTAACGGTGCAACGTGTTCTCACGATTTTCTGGCTTGGCGCTTTCCAGAGCCTTCTGCAGTGAGTCTCCCGCCGAAGGCTGAGGACGCGGCAAGTCGCCCCGAAACTTCTTGCGAGACCTTTCCACGGCCTCTCCAGGGTTATGGTCAAGCACTCGCCTTTCCGCGGCTGAGCCGGCAAAATTCTGCCCAAACACGAAGAAGAGCACTGCTTCTGCGTCGGCAAGGAAGGTTTCTCCCCCGCCCCCGGCTTTCCACACACTTCTGAGCTTGTCGAGGGAGGTGGCTCCGGCTGCTTCAAACTGCTCGATCATGCTGGGGCACACGCCTGCATCCAAGCACGCTTGCACCAGGACCACGAAGGTATTCTCATTGCGCGGCTCCATGGCGTAGCTCCTCTATATCAGGTTTGGTCTACTCAATCCTATCACACTGACAACGATGTGGCCTCGCCTGACATGACGTATGCATCATGCTCACACGCTCACCATGCAATGGCAGCAAGCACGCTACTTATCCAACGCGTAACGCAAGACCTCTCAAGCTCTCTTTACCATACCGCGGATGTGACACAACGACACAAACAAGTATTCGCTGCCCTAGTCAAGTTCCGCTCGCGGCCAATGCCAGCACCGATGCAACTGTCATCAACCCTGACCAAGCACGTAACATCAAACAATCACACACAGTCTCAAGGCTCCTACTTGCGCAAGACAAGCCAGTTTTCCGACTGACCATGCGTGATTCACAAATCACTAGCTCTTAACAGCAATAACCAAGCAACTCTCACGCATGTGCTTCCCATCCATGTTCTCGACGAGGTCCGCAGACTCGAGGACGGCAACTATCCAGTTGGCACCATCGAGCTGGTCCATGCACACTCTCGAAAAGGGTGACGTCGAGCATTCGGCTGCTACACAGAAGCGCTCATCATCTTCTGCCGCGACCGCGCCCAACCATGACGCAAGTAAGGCTTCTGAACAGCAGCTACGGGCCTAGATTCCTTTCGAAAAGGAAACTGATCCTGCGCTTGGCTGCGGATCCATACGCATACATGTCATTACGTGCACGCGTGCACTCCAAGACCTGCCAGTCGGAACTCAAGACTGCAGCATCGCAGTACTTACCAAGCCTGCAGCATCGCTTGAGCACGTGCCGGGCAAAGCCCGAGCTCAGGGCGTCCTGGGAAGGAGCACGTACTTCAAACCTACTTATGTAAGAGATGTTTGTTGGGCTCTTGTACAGTTGTGACATGAATACTTCAGTACCCCAACGCTGAATCTCTCCCTTCCACTTATGATCCATACTAGGGGTTCTCTCAGAATTTGGACCGCTATACACCCCGTGACAGCTATAATCCTTGTAATAGCCAACCCTCAAAGCAACACATAATGTGGAGAAACTCCTGACATGTTCTCTATGCGCCTTTCAAGATTTTCAAAACTTTACACCCCTGTAATGCAGTGCCATCTCATCTTGGACCTGAGGCTGTGACTTCAAACGCTGCCTCCCTGCCACTGGCGTCACCTTGCAAAGTGATCATCAAGTGAACATGTACGTGTGCTCCTTTAAAGGGCGTCAAGGCTTGGGAGCGCTTTATGTATTTGCACAAACCGGCCGTGTAAGCTAGTTGACTTGGGTTGTTTTCATCCCTTGCAAGCGCCATTGTCCGAGTGGAGAGGCTCGCCGCCTCCTGGCCCTTACCATCACGACAAGCGCATGGTGGGAATGCTTAGAAACTCCAAGAATGCTCCGCAAAGCCAGCGTTTCGGTTCTTGGCGGCCTCTTTGATATCTGGCAACGCAAAACACTTCAACTCTCAGCCCTTGACGTAGATCTTCAACCCAAACAGTCCCTACCCCAATTTCTTCCCTTATATTATAGTAGTTTCCATTTTCTTTTCCATTATCCCAACATAACCCCAATATCTACCCTATCATGTGCGAGATTTACATGCGATGCTCCTTGGGGCAAGGAAGGCAGCTCTTCCGACATGGTTCAAGATTTTCCGTATTTCTCCAGTGAGATCCACCATGAGCGAAGCTGAAGATCTAGGTCCAGAAGTTTACTATAAGATAATAGGGTAGATATTGGGGTTATGTTGGGATAATGGAAAAGAAAATGGAAACTACTATAATACAAAAGGGTAGATATTGGGGATCTCAGTGATAGTGGTTGGGATTGTGAGGCTTGGCCTTCGAGTCTTGGAGCACCGCATTAATGCAGCCTGGCTTGCCACGCTACAGTATCCGAAGCACTCATGCCAACATTGTCCACCTTCTTATCCAATACCGTGCCTTACTCGACATCACATGATCACATTAGGTCAGTAAGCCCCTACATAGCCCTCGATTCCATTTCATCATCCAGGTTCTTTCCATTTGATTCTCCACTATTGAGGTGATATGGACATAATCCCTGCATAACCCCCTCAACCCTAAGCCATAAACCCCAGATCCTCTACAATCCCGAAACCCTTTATAGATACCCCATGGTTCATACAAGCAGCAAGCATGGATTACAGCCCACATCTGAGCCCATCTCTCTCATGTTGATTGATGTCAGCTCTTTTTGGGTCCCTGACCACCCCAGGCCTAGGCAAGGATGCATGAAACAGCCTCCAAAGTGGGAGTTTCGAGAGGTAGTGAACCCCAAAAATGACCCCAATGCATGGGAGCCCTAACCTCTTGCAGAATCTACTCTTTGCTGAAGGAATAGGTTACAGCCCGTTTGCTCACTCGCGCAGGGCTCTCAAGGCGCCTGACGAGCAGGGAGAATCCATCGAGAAGCCTGCACCATGAAGCTAAGACTAAGGCATTTGGGCTTGGAGGGTCGAACTGCTATAAGCGCTTCCGCAAACTTAACAGGGACTTGGGGGCCCACACTACGAGTGGTCAAGAATGTCGTGTACACATTGCAGTGCGGGTTTGTATCAAACAGCCTTCAACGTCAGGACAACCCCGGGGCACCCTCGCACAAAACACTGTCACCGATGTGCATTGCACTTAGGGCCAAGGGTACAGCAGGTGCTGGATGTCTGTCCATCGCTATTGCAAGCTCTAGACTTACAGCTTTTCTGGTGCCTGGGAACTCCTGCCACTCTTGGAGGTCCGCCCAGAAGCTGGAGCTGAGCTCAATGAACCTCAGCACCAATGGTTTGCGGCGCAGTTCTGGAATGCGTACACATCTGCGTCAGATGGCTGGAAAAATTCCGTCTGCGCACGTCGCGCAAATTGGGCAGTGGCCAGCCGCCATGTTGTTCGCTGTTCCACGCACTGCACCATGGCCTACACAAATACTTCACAGATGCTGCAGGAGTAGAGACAATCATAGAATCCAAGCATTCAACAGCTGCAGATCAGCCTGACGGGATACGACATCACTTCTACGTCTTGGAACGGTTGATCTGCGCCTGACCAAGACTTTCGCGCATAGGCAGGGACTGTCTGGACATCTCCAAAACAGACACCCCAACATGGCGGTGACTGCCTCGAAGCACTCCATGTAATGCGCTAAGCCGTCTCGCACAGATTCAACTTCCCTCTCATCCTGCCAAAGTCAGAACCCTCAGCTTGCTGAAAACACGCTGGCACTGGTCATTGCGGACCATCTGATCAAGCTAATCCACTTGCATTGAAATCGTCATCTTTACGTTCCACGTCCTCTCCAAGCTCGCGCAAGAGCGTGACGAAAGCGGCGGCAGTTTGAACGCGATCATCCGTGCCCCCGCTGTACTTCCTGCGCTTGCCAGGATCCCAAGTGCTTTTGACCTGAGAGCTCCGAATCGTAAGACGAACCCCAGTCCTGGTTCCGCCAAGTTCGCTGCGGGATGCTGTGGTCACCTTAGTAATGGTAAGATGCACACAAAATTGCACATCAGGGTGCCGAGCAGCAGGTAGAATCATGCCAAAAGAGAAAAGGCCACTGTGAAAGGCATAGGGATTTAGCTCGGGCAGGCTGATTGCTGATTACAGCTTGCATCTAGCAGAACATGCTTTTTGCTCTTGAAGGGATCTTCTTGCGCTTGTAGTTCTCACATGAGGTCACGAGCCGGGGTATCCTTGGTTGTCTTGGCGTGCATCACAACCATGGGCATGAAAAAGCTTGAATAAGGATTTGCCGGGAGACTGCTGATTGGCGCAGACATATCCGTACCTGAGTGAGACCGCGGTATAGTCAGACTTTGACCTCAACATGCCCTCCACAACGTGTTTACAGAAATATGCTTTTCTCTAATCTTAGGTGCACGATACGCTCCAGGTGCTCGTCGGTAAGTTGGTTGACGATCCTCGACTCAAACAGCCTCAGCGAAGAGCGTGCTCCGGAGGTCTATGGCAGCGAGTATCAGCCAGTCTGTGAGAGCCAGCAATACCGAGGATGTCTTGCATCAAAATACAACACGGAAGGAGCGCTGGTGCCACTTTCATGACATGTTGATCTGAGCCGCCCAAGATCATGTGCTGTCGGCACCCAGAACTTGCCTGTATTGCCTCAGCAGTGCTCTCCGGAGATGCTCCAAACTCCTCTACGGAAACTAAGCAGAACACATGCGTGAGCCATCCCTTGTTGAAGCCAAGCGGCGCCAAATCAGGCTCCTAGCTTGAGCAGGACTCATGCTGGAAATTCAGGCTCGGGTGGTACAACACTGGCGCGAATTGAGTCCCTGAAATGCAAGGTCAAGCCAAGTGGCGGATGCTCTCCAAACCACCGGCCAAGACTGGAAGCATACCTGAGATGCTCAACAACAAGGGCTTTCAGGTCGCAACACAAGACCTGCACTAGACTTGAAAGTTGGTTAGAAAAAACACACCTGGGTTTAGGGTTTAGGGTTTAGGGTGTGGGCATCCTGGCAAGGTCCTGTCTATCTGCTGTGGAAAGACATCTTGAAGTTTAGGTCGCTTCATCTAAACCCCCCAAAACACATTTGAGGACACAAAAAACATCCAAGACATCGCCAAGACATCCTGGCCACGCCCTCCAAATCCCAACAACTTACTGGTTCTTAGTAGGGAAAAAATATAGATACACATATATATATATATTCCCTACTAAGAACCAGTAAGTACAATATCTCAACATAATGCCCAATATATCATTGTAGTTTCCATTTTATTTTCCATTGTTCCCCACATTAAGCTCCACAAAACGGACAAGGAACATGACAGACTCGGCAGAGCCTCCGGTGCCGGCCGGAGCATCCGCCATGAGCATTTGCGCCAGCACTTCTGGCCAGCTCATGCCATAGATGCCTGAAGCCAATGCGCAGGTTTCCCAAAATTTGGGGGTACCTTTTTGGGAGACCCCCAGCACAAGGATTATCATATTTGGGGATCTTTATTGGGGCCCCCCTATTTCGGAGACTACCATGTCTTGCTGAGCCATGCGAAGGATCTTTAGGAGTCCTGAAGGGGAAAATGAGGAACGGTAGCGCGATTTCATGGATCTTTCCGGAATCGTATGGGGCTACAAGGACGAGGTTGGCTAAAGGGCATCTTATCTGGGCAAGAAGCAGACTGGCAACACAGGACACTCTCTGAAGGGACTGCAGTCACAATTGCAATCTGCGCGACCGTATGAGTATAGCTATGCTTGCGACCGCTGCTTTCATGGCTCCTGTTGGTCTTTGTGTTGTCGTGACCATGTAGTATTTTTGCTGGCATCATCTCTTTCAACTGTGGGCTTTATTTCGGAAACATACTTTCTATCGTTCTTATAATGAGTGCAATGCCATCAATCCATTCGGCCTTGAATCTGAAAGCTGCCCGCCCACCAAATCTCAGCCTCAGCTGCTTGGGCAACATCGGTACCACTACGTCCTGTGAGGGTCGTTCTCAAAATTAGGGTCCCTGTTTGGTGCCCCAGAGTATTACATGTCGTCATATAATCTATAACCCAAAAACGGCATATAGTTTTGAGAATAAGTCACCAGACTGTCCTAAGGCGATCTTCGCAGTAAAATCCACAATCTAGATGGCCCCCAAGAAGGTAAATGAGATCAGACCTACCATTGGGTTCCCGCTTAAACCAACTGAAGTCACAACTCGAGTCTGAAGGCAGCCTTGCTACGATGATGCTCTGCTCGTCATCCATCACCTTCTCTGCCAGGTAGCGCTCTATGGCCCACTGGAACCACAATGCATAAAGCAAAACGCCTTCTCGACCTCCTGCACATGAGTAGCGTTTTTTTGTGGTTGAACCCAGTAAGATTGTATCCCTTCTATAAGATACTATACCCAAAAGGAGGATATAATCTTACTCTATATTGGGTACCATAGTATCCCCAAATAAAATACTACTCACATCAACTCCATAGCAGGGCCCAAAGACGTCACAGCAAAGCTGGATTCCCCGCCTAGCAACACCGAGGAGTCGTAGGTGGTTCCATGCTCCAGGCGCTTCAGTTTGTCGCGGAAATCGAATATTATCCACATCCGCCGACCAACCTCCAGACTCCAGACGATGTGCTCGCGGATGTGAGACCCCACTCTCTCAGAAATCGGCTTGCTGTTTATTTAGGAACTTAAGTCAAGCTACCATCCTAAGGACATGTAATCCCCATGATTGATTGCGCTACAAGTTCTGTCACAGCAGCCCAGAAAACTGGGCGCCATGCACACAGGCTCCATGGCGGGCAGCTTGGCAAGGCGATGGGCCTGGATCCTCCTGAGATAGCTCTGACTGAAGCTAAGGCATGCTCTAGACTCTAGACTCTAAACCCCTGAACCCTAGACTTTAAGCCCTAAACCCCTAAGCCCTAACCCCTAAACGAATAGCTAAGCAGCCTGGAAAGCCGTAGTCAATCTTGCTTTCCCTAGCAAGAAACAAACACATCTATGTTCGGTACCCATGTTCTGGCAAGACGTCTTCCCAGCCTTGCCACCCCGGCATCCACCCACGCAAAGCGCTGGGAACGGAAAGGATTCCAGTGAGCCGTGCAGGCCAGGAGTTCTGGCTTTGAATTCACGACCTGCGGATGTCTCGACTGGCATACACCACACATCTCACGACTTCGGGAGCTACAGGTAAGTACCCGGCCAGCGTATACTTTGGCTGGATCCTCAGCATCATGGCGCTCAGACCCTCTGCACGCAAGGAGGCATGCGGCTCAAGACCTCGGGTGCCGGCACTTCTGGGCGCATATCTTCTGGAAGGTTTCGCCGGTTCTCAGAATGAGCCTGCCGCAAGCAGCGGTCTGTCCGTTGGTGGGCATCGGCTTCAGAAGCAATTGGCTACTCCTCAATCTTAGGGAACTCGCACACGCAAAATTTCTGGAGAACACTTTTTTGTCTGCAGCTGCAAAACATACAACTGGGACTCAGAAGTGGGGGTTTCCCAAAATTAGGGATACCATTTTGGGGGTCCCCATAATAAGGACTATAGTATTTTGGGGTCTATATTGGGGTCCCCCTATTTTGGGAAACTACCAAGTACTTGCCCGAGGCCTCCTCATAGGCCTCCTTCCAGCGCATCTGAGGTAAGTCCTCCTTTGGGACCTCAGGGCACTCCGCACCATGTCAGATGTTCCAGAATCACAAGGGTGGTTGTCAAAATTATGGTCCCTTTTGGGGTACCCTAAATATTAGGTGCCGTATTATAATAGGGATTCAAAAAAGGACCATAATTTTGACAACCACCCACAAGCTTTCGTGAAGCCTTACTTCGCTCCTGCCATACTTTAAATCGCAGAAATATGCGGACAGGAGAAAGCATTTCAAACATGGGAAGTCTAGAAGAAGTCCCTATCTCATCAGTCACACGGGTCCCCCCTAACCCCATCATGGCCCAATATGCTATGTCCCTAGGCCCTCGGGGTACCCTCTTTTCAAAGCTATCCTATTGGGAGAAAAGCCCAGATCCTGGCCTCCACCAAGCAGCTGAGATAGGTCAGACCAAGGGATTTGCGGAGAGATGCCTCCAGGCATGTCAGTGGATTAGGTTTTACGGTATAGGGGCTATGTAAGACTATATAGGGCTGCATGGGGTTATATAGGGATTATGTAGGGATTATGTAGGGATATTGCCCCAATAATGGAGAATCATATGGAAGAGAAACTCGAAAAATGAAATGGAAACTGTGTTTGTACAGGGATATATGGGAATAGGCATGTTATTGGATCGGTTTGGTGTTTAGGGATCAGGGCCTAGGGTTTAGGGTGCAGAGGATTATATAGGGGTATGTAGGTGATATATGAGGTTATACAGGGCTATGTAGGATTATGTAGGGTTTGGATTTTAGCGATATTACCCCTATGATGGAGAATGAAATGGAAGAGACAATGGAAATGAAATGGAAGCTGTGCTTATACAGGGGTATATGGGAATGATATTCCTTCGATTGATGGAAAAGTGGGATATTGTATATGGGAGGCATGTGAACCGGGCCGGATTTCGGGTTCAGCTTGCTGGTTTGACAGCTAGAGACCCGGGGCGTAGCCAATGTGGCGTTAAAAGAGAAGCACCCCAAGCACAGACAGAACCTGTGCGATATCCCATGTACCCCTAGATCAAACAGAGTTACCATTTCATTTTCCATGCGCAGTTTCCCTGTCATGTTCCAAGTTCTTTACCACTTGATTCTCCATAATTGGGGTAATACCTCTAAGCCATAAACCCTATATAACCCTACATTATAAACATATATAAACCCATATAAACCTGTACGACCCTTTCTAACCAAGGCCTAAGCATGATAGTCTACCCCTTCAAGTGCTGGATGCTAACGAAGCCACCGCGTATTCCAGCGTCTCCCGCTCTCCGAAGACAACCAATGCTTGCGGCTTTTGTAGCAGCCTGTGTTGCAGTTAAGGAACTAATAAGTAGATAGAATATTTGAGGGTTATAGAGGGATAATGGAAAAGAAACTGGAAACTACTATTTAGGGTTTAGGTTTAGAGTTATAGTCTCTTCTAGTAGATAGAATATGGCTTTGGGTATGTTATAATCAGATCCCATATACCCCATATTCTATCTACTTAAGGGGGACTATAGTACATACTGGGGTTTCCTTGTTAAAGCAACAGAACTTGAATTCCTTAACAGCAACCCAGTAGCTGGCTCATCCACGCGAAATACTTCCTGAACCTTAGCCCCATCTGCTCACAGCTCTGTCGAATCCAGGCCAGCATTGCCGTAAAGTCGAGCCACGATTGGATCTAACTACATGGATTATAACCCTAGTTTTACCCCATAATATATTCATTTCCATTATGTTCTTTTTCCATTATCCCAATATAACGCGATATAACCCTAATGTTACCTCAATGTTGATGAATCTGTCTGTCGATCTAACGCAAGCCAACTTGAAGTTGCAGGGCTAAGCCGGCGGCGAATGCCCATCCCCCTCCTGTGGTGCTGGCTCTGGCTCTCACTCAGCTCTCCATCCCCATAGGGTAATATTGGGGGAATATTAGGGTTATAGAGGGGTTATATTGGGATAATGGAAAATAAAATGGATACTACTGTAATGGGTTATATACATCCATCCCTCCAGTTTCCCGGTCGTGCCACATCCTAAGGATCACTCACCAGTCAGTTAGTAAGTAGACTCTAGGCAAGAGTGCCCCAACAGCCTTTGGAACTATGATGTAGGGTGAGATACGATGTGATCCATGTGTATGGTCCTTTCAATGCAATTGGAAACGCCATGTGCTCACTCACCAATCTTCCTACGGAACACCCAATGCACTCACCAAAATAGACCAAAACTCATGTGACTTGCATTGTGGCCCAGCCTGATCTAAACAAAAACTTTCAGGAAACTACACCATTCAGCTAAGCAACAACCCGTGTAACAGAGAATCAGATGGAAAATCAACTGGGCAATGACTTGAGAACTGGGGTTGTTGGAGTCATATCGGGTTTCATATTTGGCAATAAGAGGGTTTTGGTATAACAAGAGACTGTACTACAATTACAAAGGGGGTTTGTGATCCCTGAGACCCAAGCTCCTGGTAGCGGTCGTGGGATGGCCATCCTTCTCTGTTCAGATTCCTTGGTCATGTTGGGGATAGACATGAACATGAACTAGTTTCTTCCCCGTTGCGCGCAAGTAGCCCTAGGCCAAAAACCTGTATTCAACAGTGGCAGAGTTTCCATAGACCAGTCACCAGCGTGGTGTTTGACAGCTTGCGCCTCCAAGGCAGCAAGGGATCGGAAAGTGATCTGCTGGGATCCCATACCCCGCGAACCAAATCCTCTTATGTAGGGGTTATATAGGGATAATGGAAAAGAAAATGGAAACTACTATAGTATATTGGGGTTATGTTGGGGTTGTATTCAAGCTCTTGCAAAGCTCCACTGCCAAATGGAACCTGTTTGTCATTTGAGTCCGAAGATGTTGCCCCAAATTATGCAGTACTAACTTAGACATAGAAAGCCGAAGCCACTGAAACCCCGGTGCTAGCCTACCTAAGATAGTAGGTGCCATACTAGGTGGCATACGCACATATCACTTGCTGGTGGTTAGTATGGGATAAGGGAATAAGATTCCTATATAATGCCTTTACAATATGTTCACTGATTCCGATACTTATGGTAGTCTCCATTTTCTTTTTACTATTCCCTATATATGCATTATCCCCTTCTATCCCCGAAACCCTAAGCCCCTAAACCCTAAACCGCGTGCTTTAACATGCAGACTGGCCTTGGGCACCGGCTGCGTGACAGCTGCAGAATCCTGCAAATTGGATCCCTTGCGCAGGAATACTGACCGAGGGTTACTAGGAAACAAGGGAATATGTTATATAGGGATTATATAGGGATGATTTAGGGGTTATATAGAAATTATGTTCAAGTATTCGCTACTAACCACCAGTCATCCACTCTCTGCGTTCAGCATTGTGGTGGACTGAATATATTTAGCACTGGTATGTGGGGCTACTGCAAGGAATATGGCAGGGTTGCATCTTTTGAATGCTAAGTGCCCCTTAACCGGGAGCACAAGCTGCAGAAATCAAACTTAGCCTTATGTAGGCCTAAAAGGGAGCCCACATCATCCCATTGTCATCCCCGCGTCTCCCTACCTGGACCCCGAAAGTATGTAAAATAATAACACCAAATCCCCCAAAAATGGCCCATGGCTCCTGTTACGAAGTGCTTGGCCGCAAGGACTTTGGCAGCAGCGATCCCGGGTGTGCGGGGCCATGTCTCCTCCATCGACGTGACATAAGTATGTAGTCCCCATGCAATCCCAAAGAAACTTGATCCTTTGTAGAGAAAGCCGCAAAGAAGGAATTTTGGCATATGTCACATACCCGCATGAGCTATAGTCGAAACTCCTAGTATCCCTATAATACTCCCCCATATAATTGTAGGTTGCATAATTTGAGGAAACAGCTGTTCACTCCATGATTTGAAGCTCCTGGAAAACAGCTTGGCAGTGGCGTTGGACCGCAGCACAGTTCGCGCGTATAGCCATCCTCAGATGCGCTACAGTCGATATTTACGTCTGTGGTTGATGGACATGGGTCCTTATTGGGGGAAAGAAAAACAACCAAAGGGACGCCCTATGTCCAGACTTAATGGTCCCTTGGTAAGCCTAAAATTGGCAGCAGAGCAGATGCCGCAGGAACGTCTTAAGGATTTGGCTGACAGGAGCAAAGATGCACGAGTGTCAGGCCGTTGTTTGGGGTTTCCCAAAACTAGGGATACCTTTTTGGGGCCCCATACTTAGAGAAATTATCACATATATATATATATATATACATGCATATACACCCCCGCTATGAACCCAGTTCCCATTTGGAGTTCCATGTCCTTCTCCATTTAAATTTCCATGCATGGAGAAATGTCCCTACATAATCCCTATATGAACCCTAAACCCTAATCCCTGCATGACCCTTCCAAAATCCCCCTATATATTCCCCATATAACCCCTAAACCCCAAACCCTAAACCCTTCAAGAGTCCCTAGGCAAGCCTCCGTCCAGCAAGCCGGGTTCTCCTCCCGCTTAAAGCCTGCGCCTGCAACCGCCAGGGCTGCGCTGCGCGCCATCGCTCGGCATCGCAGTCCGCGCTTGCAACGCACTTACCCGAAATGGTAGTAACCACACTAGAATAGTAATAGTAATAGCATTAACAGGGATACTGATAACAATAGGAAGAAAATATGCTTCGTAATTTCCATGTAATTGTCTATTTTCTTCCCCAGTTGATTCTCCGTTGTTGGAATACTAGCCCTATGTAATCTCTACATGACCCCTACATATTGTTGTTTCTATTTTGTTTTCCACGTTACTTTGCATTTCTTGATTCACCATTTGCAAGCGATGTTGGATAATGTGCGCATGTGTGTTTTCGAGCTGTCTTGACACAGCCCGGAGACGGGCAGACACAAACGAAATTGGGGAACAAACCTCACATGGTAGTTTCTCTAAATAAGGGTACCCCACCATAGACCGCAGTATACTATAATCCTAACTATGCGGACCCCCAAAACATGGTACCCTTAATTTTGGGAAACTCCCACATCTGTGCCGAGCCCTTAAGTATTCTCCAGCCTTCTTGCAGCACCGGGCTGAGGCCGGCACAACGCAGCGGCGTATCTTGGGGCCTCTGTCTGGATGCATGTTTCGAGACACAGTCCAGCATGAATGATGGTCTTAGCTCTGCCTTGCACTTCGCACTTTTCATGGTTTGGCTCAGTTGGAGGAGCCGGGCAGACACCACCAGCAAGTTGCCTCAAGCAGCTGCTGGCGCTCATTATCCAGGCAGACAAAGGACTTCAAAGCTCCAAGACACATTCGAAACTAATCCCTGTCATGGCATGAATGGCCGTGAACAACCTCATGGACATATACAACATCATTTCATACACTTACTATCTTGATGCAAGGGAAACATCCGTTGTCCGTCTCGCTATCGGAGCTTCTTTGCGCTCACCTGGCGAGGCCTTAAATGTAAAACGATCTGGGCATGTCTCCCGGCATCTCATCGCCGAACAACAACCATCATGCCAGTATTGTTAGGAGAATTAGAGCTGTACTCGCAGGATAACTAGAGCTATACCTGCTACTCCTGTCTTTGTACAAGGCTGACCTCAGGCGATATGCCAAGCAATTCTACGGGCTGCCGGCCGGCGAGGCCCTGCTTGCCTGCACGGTGGGCAAATATTCTTGTCATGCACTTCGAGTCGAAGAAGAGCAGGACGGAATGACATAACATCCTCAAAAAACAGTTTCCATGTAATTTTCCATGTTGTTATCCACTTACTTTTCCATTCTGGAGACAATCCTACTGCTAGACGGATCATGAGCCTTGCTTCAAATACGTCCTCGTCTTACTACCTGGCTGTGCACTGTCCCCTTCAAAAGAATATTCTAACATCCTGAAATCCAAGCTATAACCCCCCTGTCCAGTTAATTTTCCATGTTCTTCTCCATATTATGATTCTCTTTTTGTGGGGCAACATCCCAACAAACCTACATCTAATTTTGAGGAACCCTACAAAGGGCAGTAAGCCTCTCCCCTCCCAGTGCTCCCTTCACAGATATCCAGTAAAGTGTGAGGCCTAGCCTCCAAAAAGTAGAACAGTTGAGCAATATAGAGATTCCATGGAAGGTAATGGGAAAGAAAATGGAAACCTCTGTGTAGTAAGGATATTTAAGTTATATAGACTTATCAAAGGATGAGTTACTACTCAAGATACACTCTTCCCAGCCAGCCCCAAAAACTTACTAGTGGCTAGTAGGGAATTGGGGAAGATGATCCCTCCTTATTCCTATATAATATATTCCAGTAGTCCCTACCAACCACCATCAAGAACACCCCAAACCCTAAACCTAAAC